AGTCGCCCCCTGCTGGTCATAAGAAGAAAAGAAATCCATGTTTAATGCACAGTGATCGGCTTTACTTTGCACAAAAAAATGTACTTCAGTCTGAAAAATCTCTTTAGATCAACTGATGATTATTAGAAAATGAACATTTTAACTCAGGAGTCTGTGGGACCGACTTTCAGGGCAAGCCTCAAGTGGCCATTAGAGGAACTGCAGTTTTAACGGCTGTTGAGGGTCCTCCTTGATTGATCCACTTTAAATGTGTTTTCCTGCTGCTGCAGTAACACAATCTGTTGGCTGGCTTTAAATGCTTTTCAGTGCTGTTAGGTCAGTCAGCAGTTCTTCCTGCACGTGCCGTTTTGTAACTGTGGGCCATTTTTGTCCACACGCTGGTCGAATCAATGTTTCTTCTTCCTTTCAGGCGTTTGTTCCTCGGGTCCTGGTGATGTACTTCATTGCAGCACTGGCTCTCATTTTCTATGTTTCCAAAGTTCCTGAGCGGTACTTCCCAGGTGAGATGACTGTTTTTATTTCTTCATTTCCTGTTTGATTCGTTGTTTTTTTCGTCCACTCATAGTTGGAAAATAACAGTAATCTAATACTGCAGAGAGAAACATTGAAAATGGGCCCGAATCTCATTAAAATCTGAAGCAAGCTGAGTGTTCCTGTCTCTGCAGGTCAGCTGAACTACCTGGGCTCCAGCCATCAGGTTTGGCACTTGCTGCTAGTGCTCATGTTTTACTGGTGGCACCAATCAACAGGCTTCATCATGGCGTACAGGCACAGTCAGCCGTGCCCCAACACCCCCCAACACGCCTAGATCGCTGCTCAGCACGCCAGGACTGCAGCTCCGATGAACCGTAAGCGACCTGTTCTGCTCAGTTTCAGCTCCATCGTTTTTATTTCTGGACTCCACTAGAGGAGCTTTGCATGACTCACAGTTCAAAGTAATTCTGGGCTTTGGTGTAGCCCCTCAGCTGTTTTTCCTCCTCTGCCTTTAAACTGACTTTATTCTGATTGGCTGCCCCTCATAACCACAAGGGTTCGACTGCAAGTGGTAGTCTAGTGGAGCGTCTGTGGTCACAGCCAGAGCTTTATGACTAAAATGACCTTAATGGTGACGGCCGTGTAAGCTTCAGTTTCTGATCCGCTCAACGATGCTTTGATTACAGAGGAGCTGTTTAACAGACTGCTGAGAAAACTTTGCCGACTGCAGAGAGTTGGGAGTTCACTCAGATGCAGACTGTGGCTCAATTTAAATAAATCAGAAAAAAGAAAATCTTTAATATTTAAGCAGATGTTTGGGGGTTAAAAGGCTTAAAGGAATCAAAGAATCAGCAGGTGGAAGACGAGGAGCAGCTGCTCTGTCAGGACATGAGGTCATTCCAGTTACAGAAAATAAGAATCTAAGCATGAACACTACTGTATATGAAGTGTCTTCTGTCTGTTTTGTCAAAACCTCACATCGAAGCCTGTTAGAATATGTCTAAAACCAATAAAATGAAACTGAACCTTTTCAGGTAACACAGGTGATTTTTGATGCTTTTAATTGGCTCTGTTCACAGCTGACGTGTTGCTTCCTCCTCAGGTCGTCTGCAGAGACTCTGTTCTGGTCTCGGTCCATCAGTTTCCTCACAGATGGACTCTCTAACCTGTGAGTCTCTGTGATGAGGGAGGAGGAATATATCCAGCGTGTGACGTGACGTTTGAGTACTTCAAGCTAATAAGAAACAATACGGACCTCTGCGTCGGACTGACAGCTCACCTGAAATCACTCAGACTGTCACCTTTATAAACTCCTTGAGGACTTAATGTTTGTGTGTAAACCGCAGACAGCACTGAAGGAACGGGTTGGTAATGTTAGTTTTTCTGCCTGGAAATGAACCCGTGTCCAGCTGTTTTTAAAGGTTGAAAGCTGCTTCATCTGAGAGCAGATTCAGGCTCGTCCCTGAAAAAGGAAATGAACTAATGTCAGTATTATTATACTACGAGTAAACAGACTCAAGATTTCTGATATCTTCTTTAAAAACAGACTCTGAAGTCTTTGTTAGTGGAAATGATCAAAGCGTGGGGATGATGTTCAGACAGAACAAACCAAAGAGTTTTGTGAAACAAAGTGCGGACTCAGATGGTTTCATATAAATGTACCCGCTCTATTTCATACCTGAAGCTCCGTTGTTGTTTTTTTAAGCTGCTCACTTCCTGTTCAAACTGATGTTCATTTATATGTAAAGAATTTCACAGGATGCTTGAAGGGGAACTTTAAATATTTGTTATTTTATGTTGTTCGTCTTTCAGTGGTAACGCTGTGGGGTGAGGGTGGCTGTGGGGATGCTCGTAAAGTTTTATAACTGCGTCCCAGCCGAGAGCTGCAGGAATGAGTCCTAAAACCCAGGAAGTGGTTCAGTCTTCCACCTTCGTCCAGTTCAGTTCTGCGTTTACTTCCACATAAAAGATGGGCGTAGCTTCCTGGCCCGCTGGCCTGACCTCAGTCTGGTCATAATGAATAAAATGTGACGTCAGGTTTGGGTCGTCGTAAAAAGACGTCCTAACAGGAAGTCAGCGATGGCCACTTGAGCTATAAGGAAACCTTCACCATCCCTGCAGCGCTATGAACATTGATTTGTTACTACAGACTGTTTTTTGAGCATTTGAACAATCAAACTTAAGTTCTAAAACCCTAAAACATCAGATTTTGTAACTAAGCTGGGACAGTTTTTAGATTCACGTGATTTAAACATTTCACATGAACTGCATTAATATTTGTGTAGCGTGTGGCTCTTAATATCGACTGTAAACTCTGATCACGTTACAACAGAACTTTTATTATGACAAGCAAACTTCATTTTTGAAAATGTATTTTTTCTCTTCAGCTTTTTAAGGACATGTTTTTCCAGCTCGTTTAGGGTGATGTGCAATGTTTTCATGGCTCTCCAGTGCAGCGCCTCTCTGCTGTCTCACTCTGGAACGGAAAGCCGGATGTTTTCTGTGTGACCGTTTAATGTTTCTAATGTTGAAAAGGGGGAAATGTTTGTGGTTCTGTATTTAAATTATTAAGGAGTTTCTTTTTGTCTTAACAGACTCATTTTGTAGGAGTGGACAGTTTTATATGTTGACTTTTCATACCTGAGGTCAGACTCTAAATAAAAGTAACCATGTGCTGTTTCCAGATGTTTGAGATGAAACTTTATTTATTGCGTCCAACAGCAGTATAGCATGATAAATACAATACAAGACTTACCCTGGTGAAAAAAACAAAGATGGGAGCGGTCGTATGAAATGGTTCAACTGGTGTAAAAAAAGAACAGAGCAGGCTGCTGGTTTCATTCAAACAAATGTGCCAACGGTGGTGGAGCCAAATGCAGTGTTTAAGGCGGTCGATGAAGAAGCACAAAGTTGTTTAACCCTCTGTAGAACCTGGGACCATTTCGTGGCCTTTCCGTTTTTTAATTCCACGCCATTTCCACTGTGTTTAATGGAGTATAGCCAAATTTTCAAACATGTATTTTCCCATTTTATTTTAAAATTTCAGTCTGAGTTTTTTAAATGAGCTTAAATGGCTGAATAAAAGGCATACATCCACTATCGAACCTCGTGGCCGATTTGTGCCCCATTGAAACCCATTATAAACGCTATTTTTCACGCCAGAAAAATTACGGTCAAATCGATCGTCAGGTTTCCGGTGTTGTGCCAAAAAGTGACTACAGGCCTTAGAGTTGTAATTTTTTTATTTGTCCACCGGGTGGCGCCCTTGCTCCACATGTGACGCCTGCTGGAACATACACATGTTCTCCAGCGGCCTGCTCGAGACAGATACCCGGAAAAGGCACACTAATTTCCCGCGTACCACAGCAGCTTGGCCCGCTGCTCGTTCCGGACCATTTTCTACCCTTAGGTTCGTTTGATTTTTTATTTTTTATTTTTAATCAACAGGAAATGACGTATTTGTTTTCACGTGGTAGCGGAAGTGTGTGCTGCAGACACGGGAACCGAACCATATGCTCCGGCGCTGCGCGAAACACACCCGCGGCAGAGGCACTCCTCCCCGGGGGAGCAGGAGCAGCAGCGCCGCCTGGGGACATTTTTGGCTTCTGGAAAAAAAATTAAAACCGGATCGAAATTAATGTTCGTGCCAATCTTTTGTCCATCTAAAGGCCTAATTATAATAACAATAAAATATTACTTCAAATGTTTTTTTTGGAAAATATTTTATGTTTTATGTTTTATGTTTTTGGGGGGAAAAAAGCAGTGCGCTCATGTGACGAAACCGGGATATAAAGGGTTAAAATCCGCGAAATGTAATTAAAACTTGACATGAATATTTCAAGGAGAAGTAGGTCTAAAAGATTGGCTAATTTAAAGTGGAATAAAATATTAATATATAAATGTTTTATAGCACTTTTTGGGCGTGGTCGATAGTGTGCATTTTATGAAATGCGCTCCTGGGAAAAAAAAATAAAAGGCGATCGAAATGACTGTTGGTGCCAATCTTTAGTCCACCTAAAGGCCTAATTATAATAACAAACAAATATTACTTCAAATGTTTTTTTTGGAAAATATTTAGTTTTTTTGTTTTTTGGGGCTAAAAAAACAGGGCGCTCATATAATAAAACTGGGATTTAAAGGGTTAAAACAATGAAAATATAATTAAAACTTGACATGGATATTTTAAGCAGAAGTAGTTTTAAAAGATTGACTAATTTAAAGTAGAAAAAAATATTGATATATAACATTTTTAGAGCACTTTTGGGGCGGGACCATTTTTGGTCCCGAGGTTCACGAAAGGATAGGATTTTGAGGTTTTACCAAGGGTTAAGGAAGATTTCATCAAGAAACAAAAACCTGAATAACATGTTTTGCCCTTTATGAATGCACCTCATTCTGCAAAGGCAAAAAACCAAACTGAACAAATCCCATCAAGACATGAAACCGTGACGCAAGTAATCAGAGCTCGATAAACCAATAAAACCTGTCCCACATACAGAGTCCTGCTGCCACGAGTACTACGCTCACTGCAGAACCAAACATCGAATCATCCAACGCATCGTTTTTCCCTCACAGTCTGAATCTGCTCCCCGGCCTGTATTACTGTAGGGTCCTTAATAAAACGCCATGAGGAATTTTGCTTTTAAAAGAGCAGTCTGATATTTTAAGGAGGCGGAAAAAGTTCCATGCCACTCTTCTTTCTGTATTTATAGTTAAATCTACTCCATAAGCTCATTTACAGGAATTATCCACATATGATGGTGAAGCAGGCAAAATAACTTGTTGGTCAGCACCATAAATCAGTCAGCACAAAAACATGGACTGTATGAAAACTGTTTTAACCAGTTAAGATTTTTATGTGGGATTTTATTTCTTTAAACATAAAGGACAGTTTTAATTATCAAACGGCTACAAAATAACCAAAAGTTCCACTCCTAGCCTGAAAAACAAACTAATCGTGTGCTGTTTTCTAATTTTTTTATGCCTCCTGGCTACAAAGATGAGCTTTAAAGCAGCGCCTCTAAATATGAATTATTTAAAGCTTGGAAAGGAAAACCGTACTGTTCAAACACCAAACTACTGCTCTCAAACTGGTAAAAACTGGTTTGAGTGGGGCTGCGCTCACAGACGGGGTTAAATGAAAACCCAAGAGAAACAAGTCGGGTTTATCTGAAGTCGCACTGTTATTTCACCCTTTCTTCTTAATTCATACCCCCAATTTTCTCAAGAGGTTTTTACATTTTAATTCTGGTACATTGACTCACGGCACCATCTTGTGGTGCTGATTGGTATTACATGAAAGTACAGCCCGGCTCTAATTCAACTTCAGTTGATATCGCTTCTGCACAACAAAGTCCTTTTTGTCATAGCAGTTATTTCTTCACATTCTGGTGACATTTTTAGTCAATTTTAAAGCTTTTACGCTACTTTTAAATATACAAATGTACAACAAGCACCTTCACAGAGCAGCTAATGTGAGCCAGTCTCACATGCACCTGTAACAGCTACAAACTTTGGGGTTGGAGCGAAAATTACTTGAAACACTTGACTGGCTTTAGTTCTTTCATGGGACTTGTTCACACTAAACCTGCAAACCTATCAGTTTACCAACGGTGAAATTCCCGATGACGTAAAATGCCGAGGTCAGTGACAATGCTGGGAAAACAGCGGTACAGCTTCTGCAGGGCTCATAAATCCTAAACTAGTCCTCTAACGTGGCTTTGTGTGTTTTATTTCTAACAGAGAAATGTTGAGTTGTAACTTACTTAAAAAAAATAAAAAACAATTAGAGTTCTTACTGCTAGAAAAAAAAGAGTTAAGATCCTAAATTTAAACCTGACCCAATTAAGAGCTCCAAGAAGAAGAACAAGATTCAATCCCTTCTAATGCATCACAAACCACACCCACATTTAGCTGCATAAAGACTACTGTGACATTATGCATAGAGAAGAATCTAATAAAGACAGAACTAAGAGGTTCAGGAAAACTCCCAAATGATTTCAAAAGACGCGCGAGGCTGACGGCGTCGTGGTTTCCGAGGTACTATGAAGCAAGGCAGAGCCGAGCTCAGGTAAGGCTTCGTGGTGCTAAAAACAAAAACATGTCGGCAGATCAGAAGGCGGGCCGGAGAGAGCTTTTCACAGCAAGACGAGCGGTCGAACGCGAAGCTCAGAATCACATTTTTCTTTTGGTTCCAAACAGCGTTCAGATGCAGCATTAAAGGCTTTTCAAAAACATGTGCAGCTGAAGGATATGTGGAAACGCCACTCGCACTCCACAGGGTTTGTTATCCAGACTCTGGTGTATTAAAACGCTCTTAGAAAAAAGTTTTAGCTTGTTGGTTAAAAATGATCCCAAACCAAGAAAAGGAAAGCAGCCGACAGAGCGGGAAGACGCAGGTGGAGTCACTGCTTTGAGGGGAAAGGTGCGGCTCCGAAGGGGTCGAGGTCCAGCGGCTGTGAGGGCGCCGCCTGCTGCTGAGGTCCACTGTGGATGACCAGTTCTGTGAAGGGCACCGCCCCGAAGTCATCCATGATTCGGCTCTCTCCGTGCAGAGAGCCCGTCCAGGACTTACCGTTGGCCGTGCTGATGTCGCCTTTTCCGTCGCTGAGGCCTTGGTACTGGCTGTGTCGGCCGCCGTCCTGAGGGTGGAAGGGTTTGGCTCCAAACGGGTCTAAAAGGGCGTCGTCCACCGGCAGAGACGCTCCCTCGGCCATCGTTATATCCACACTGATGTTCTCCTTAGAGTCAGAGGTGCTGAGGAACTCGTTGCTGCTCTGCGAGTCTCTGCGGCCGACCTTCTTGTGTCTGCGGACTCGTTCGGGCGTGCGATAGGTCGGCTTGTTAGTCTTGCGCCCTCCCGTCGGTGTGCCGTGGTGCCGCTTGCCGTTGCTGCCCCCAGCCGTGGCTTCCTGTTTGGTCTTCCGCTGGCGGGATGACAGCTTCTGAAGGCTGCGCTGCTTCAGCCTCTGCTGCTGAGGACTCGCCGACTCCTCGAAGGGCGTCCGGAAGATGTCTTCGGCACTTCTGGAGGTGGTGGGAGGTTGGGCGGTGGGGCTTGGCTGGAAGGGAGAGAAGCCAAAAACATCGATGCCCTCAGGAGAAACTGGCGGCGTTTGGCCCATGGGGACGTCACCGCCACTCCTGCTCGACCTCGAGAGGTTCCGGCTGAACGGCGCTTTGGTAAAAACGTCAAACTCGTCTGCCGCCTGCTGCTCATGGCCGACCTTGAAAGGCGCTTTAGTGAAGATATCGGTGACCTCTGGAGGTTCCACAGGTGAAGCTCCTCCGACAAAGGGCACGGCACCAAAAACATCCACAGGCTCCACAGCTCTCACTCCACCAGGGGACTCTGGGGGCGTGATCAGAGCCATCCCAGAAGGAGGACTCCTGGTGGCAGCAGTCGCTCCTTTAGCTCCTGCAGGTTTCTTTGAGCGGTTCTTCACCCTGCTGGCATCATAGTCTGAATCTGAGCTGTGTTTGTCTTCATCCTCCTCTCCCTCCTCCTCAGAGTCCATCAGCAAAGGCCTCTGTCCAAAATTCTCTGGCTCGGTGTCTTCACCATGCTCGCTGTTCAACGCCTCCTCTTCCTCCGGCTCTTCGTCCTCGCTGCTCTTAGGTGAAGGAGGGTCAGACTCGAAGTCGCTGTCGGACTCGTCGCCAGGCCTGCAGTTGGTCTTCCTGCTCGGTTTGTGCTCCTTGTGGGTCGGCTGCAGACTCTCAGCAGGTTCAGGAACGCCGACCTCCTTGCTGGTCGGCTCGGCCTTCTGCGCACTGGTACCTGCAGAAACAAAACACAGATAATACAGATGTTAACCCCTGATCCTTCCAGATGTTTGATAGTTTTAACAACTGCCAAACAAGTCAGATTTCTTGAAGGCATCCAACCCTTTTCTGATCTCTCCAAAAACAAAACTCAGTTTTCCATTTAGAAAACCTCACAAACCTGCAATGACTTCAGATCACACAAAACCAGTCAGAATAATAACACTGCAGGATGTGTAACTCAAGTCTTTGCTACTCGTGTGTCTCGACAAAAACAAAGAAAGAAATCAGATCAGGACCAGTCCCCCAAAACTCCTGTGCAACGTTAACATAAAAGAGCCATTTTATGGAAAATCGGTGACATCTCCCAGCTGGCAGCAGGTTTAACATGCCTACATTAGAAAATGATTTTGACACAGGAGGACTCGCAGGCAGAAGACGAGGCTGGTATCAGAACGCAGGTCATAAAAGATTTTTTCATATGACTGAGCAGCATCCATCCCACATGCTGTCGAGACCCCTAAACGTTTTACCCAGTGAATTCCACAGAGCAGGCATCCAGGGTCTCAATGCCAGTTTCTGTTCCTCTACAAAGTGAAATATTTTGGCTGTGACTCATAAGAATAATTTTATTGATCCCAAAGGGAGATTCATAGTTTTTACCCGTGTCTTGGAGAGGTTAAAGTTTTTAAAAAAACTGAGCTTAAATGAGGCAGCTGTTAAAATTTCATGTAGATTATCTCCTGAAGTTGTTGTAAACGCCGAGGCGCTCTGGTTTCACATTTTTCTTATCCAACATCATTTTAAGGTTACGCCGAACACATGAAAACACGGAGTGAGTCGCTTGTATGAGTGACACTCAGGCAGTCTGAGTCTAATGCTCTACAGTTCCTCCTTTTCTTTTCATTTCTATGTAGAAAAACTATTTTGGTCCGAAATCGATCTTTCCTTCTCGTCTTCGTCCGCCGCCTCTCAGACTGCTTCCATCCATCGTTGTTACCAACCTTCAGCTCACTCTGGCCGGCGGTGCCCTCTGAAGAGCTGATATCAGAGCTGTCTTGTTTAAGAGCTCCAGTCTGTGCTGCACTGGTGTTTGAGCTCTGCCTCCTGTTGTCCACATTACACCTGAATCACCGTGTGAACGCATTTTGAATTTTGCAGGAAAACTGTTCAAATGTATCCAAATGGGTGAAAACTGATTGTTGTTTTTGTGAAACAACAACTGATTCAATTTTGCTAAAATCAAAAGTCAATGATAAGTGACAGACCGAGTCCTGATGCCTTCCGCTGCTTCTTCGACAGCTGTATTATGGAGGCATTACCCAGGATTACTCGGCTTATACGCCAACCTCCCCACACAAACAAATGCCCAAAAGTTTGCCTTATACTGAAGCAGAAGTGCAATCGCAAAAGTCAATATGGTCTAAAAGCTGCTCCGACTTCTCATCTCTGATCCTGCCATAAGAAGAGCGAGCTTAGAGGCCGGGGAAATAAGACGAGCAGCTTTTCAAGATTCACAGAATTACTTTAAAAGTTTAGAGATTTAAGCTGCGAGCCTCCCTTTAGACTTGAAAAAGGAAGCTTTGTTCTCTTATTTAAACTCTGCATTTTTGGAAATTCTTACATGTATTTTGGCATTTGGAGGAAAAATTTCTGCCTTCAGTGTGTAAATTTATGTCCAAGAGATTTGCATAATGGCAACTTAGAAATTATCCTAATTAGCGAGTGGATAGTCTCCAATTGTATTGAAGATAAACGATGCCATATACAATGAGCCAATTCATTGTTCCCTATTAGAGGAACGCTGGGAAAAAGAGAAAAAGAGAACGACCCCCTGCTGCGAACATGAAAATGGAAACCAAGCGTCCAAACTGGCAGGACGTGACGGCGGATCAGCCAAAAGCTTTGCTGCCGATAAATCAAACAAGGCAGCACTCAAAGATAAGAAGTCCGAGCTGCTCTGCATCTGCTCGGCCCACCCGGATTAGAACTTGTAATCATGCTCACCTCCCGGAACGAGGCGATCCCGCCAAACAATAGAAACATCTTTAATCATGAGAGAAGATGTCAGAGCCACGCGGATTTGTTTTGTGTTTCTCCGGTGGGGTGGGGGGAGATTCTGAAGGATTACAGGCTGCGTCTGATCTCTTAAAGATACAAATAAGTGGCGAAAACATGCGTGTGATTGTTCTCTTGTGTGACGGGAGATAAAATCTGTTAGAAATGAGCGAGAGCAGCAGGGGCTTACAGAAGTCTGTTCCCTCGCCGAACAACCGCCGCCGAGCACAGATTGATTTGACGAGGCCGCCGAGAGGTGAACCCAGCGACGGCGAGCCAAACGGGAACGCCCACATTGCATTTTATCCTGCAGGGTTCAGGTTAACGATTTTGGAGAGGGACGTGTCTGTAAAACTGTAGCTGCTGGATGGTCTGGAACGCCTCCTCTATCCAGTACACCGTGTCGATTCCTACATGCATTTAGATGAGGGAGGAGAGGCGGCTGTAGGAGGATGAACAGGTGCAGTGTTTGTACAGGTGTGCCTCAGAGGTGGAATATACAAATCTTGTCCTTTTGATCTTGTTTCAGTCATTCAAGATGAAAACTTGTTTGTGCAACTCATCACTTTGCATCACGCCAAATTAAAATTGACCCTAAACAGAAAACACGATGAGCACCTGTTACACCTGAAGCAATGAAATTAAGGAAAAAAAATATTTTATGAATCAGTTGTGCGACGCGTCGTATTTAACTGACATCGCTTCAGGCCTGTGAGATCTAAATCATCATTGCTGTCAGAATTTGCTTTTCCCCCCACTAATGGGGGACAAAGATACTTCTAAAAAGTATTTACTTTTCTTCAAAAAGCCCTTTCTGGGTTCTTCCAAACCACAGAATCAGGGTTGGGGCGAAGGAACTTCAGCGAGTTGTAATAATAGTTGATACACCTGTGGTCTCAACTCCTTCCTCGCATCTCTGGTAAGAGGGGCTACGACACAATGAGAAAGGGGGCTTGATTGACAAATGAAAGCGTGCGTGTGCACTGCTGGATCGTCCATCGTGAACTGCAGCATATTCAAAGCCTCTTTGATAAATCTTTGCTGTATAGTTTTACTCACAGCATCCTGATAGACTGATATCCAAATATGGTCAAAATTCCACCACAGACAGAAGGAAATGACGAGAACATGAAAGTTTGTCCAGAACTAAACCTGCAAACAAGGATTAACCACACTGGACTCACCATGTTCAGAGCTTTAATCTCCATCGGGTTTCCAGCAAACTAGGCATAGGGGCAAAGTCAGATTCACATCTACCCCTTTATATGGAAGATTCATCGATTTAACAGGAGAACTGCAGCCAAAATGCATGTAGGAGACTTGAAAATGTCTTTGTTGCCAAAGGTTGCAGAAATGCACCCTTAACCAAGCGAGTGAAGGACACATGCGTCGCTGCTTCTGTTTCACACTCTGTTTTGCCAACCAGCCGTTGCACAGCATCTCAAACATGCTCAGCTTTCAGTTCGAGCTAGACGGGGCGACACTTAAGACAGCCATCCTAACATTAGGAACATCTTGCTCGTGGTGTAGTGGTGGAGAGACTCTAAGCTTCTCTTTAAGGATAAAAAAGGAACCAAAGTGAGTATTGATTTTGGATGTTTTTTATTCATCAGTAACATTCTATAAAGAAGTACATTCACACTCACAGTATGATACAGGACCTTTTACATAGTCTGCTGCAAAAACAAGAAAACTACTGATCTATAGGTTGTTGTCTTTCTGCAGGAGAGGTACCAGGAGCTGCTGGAGTCAACTAAAGCTGAAGAGCTGTGACATTTTTCCAACACTTCTAATGAGAATTAAAGTTTAAAAAAAAAAAAAAAAAAATCCAATAGTTTTAGTCATCTTATTGGAGGCTTCCTAACACATCTGCATGATTTAAGGCTAACAAAAAATAAAGCAAAAATATAGTAACAAAGGGGGGGAAACATCGCCCCAAGACAGAGAGGAAAGAGCACAGAAAAGTTGCAAATGTAAACAATATAAAACAACATCATCCTACAGATCCTGGGACAGTACTTCCTGTTTTGCTGCACTTTCAAAATAAAATAAAGTGCATTAATAACACTGACTGTCCCTTTCACTTGTTTTTGGCTCTGATGGTTCGCTTGTCCGAGCTATAGACCCATCCACCAATACACATGAACAAGATGTTTCTGAGAATGGCTGTCTCACTAAATGAAGAATGAAAAGAAAGTATACAAATAAAACAAATAATTAAAAAAATAAAAACCAAAACTTAAATGAAGCAGTTTTTCCAAAAAGAGGCCCCAGTAAAGGCAGGCAGTGACATGAGCGGAAAAATGAGGTGGAACAGAAGCATCAAGCAGCTTTAACTCCAAACTTACCTTCAGCTAAACACAAATTACCACCGACTATATTCATTACAATGTGATATGGTTCATGTGTGCACGGATGAGTGCCAAGGGAAATGCTCACTTGCTGACCTAAGGCGGATAAACAGCAGCACAGTGAGGATCAACAAACATACAGCCCTTTAGGATTGTATGGATTCAAATATATATAAAAAGAATAAAACAAATAAAAAAAAAAGAATAAATCAAAATTTCCTCAATTTTTGACCAAAAATCAACATTTAAACAAGAGAATGTGCCATCAGCCAGTTGTATTCAACATAAAACTATTAAAACAATAACGAAAGTTAGAGTCAAGTCGAGCTGTGGCAGCTCCCTATCAAAATCATCATCCTTTATATGAGTGGGATCTACTTTAATCACTTGTTTGGTCCATTGTTGTGGCAAAGAAAGAAAAAAAAAACCCCACATCCTTTCATTAACCATCCAAGTTTTTGTATCCACTATAATTTTCTAAGCAGGTAAATTAACTGCATGAAAACAGAGTAAATCTGTCATGGATAAAGGAAAGTTTTTCAAAGAAATCCTTTTACGTAACCACACTCGCTCATTTTAGCGGATAAATTAGTCACTTAAAGGTTAAGATTACCTATAACATGTCGTAATCCGCCGTGACATCGGGTACGGGGAAGGCCATTAACACATTTTCTGATTCGACCTCATAAAGTTACTCAGAGATCTTTAAGGGTTACGACGGGCACCCTGTTATCCGCGCTTGATAGAGTTAAAGTCAGATTTTATGGAAGTTCCTGTAAAGTAAATCAGCACACTGGTCTTTTTATAAAATGTAGTTCCTTTGTTAAAAAAATTAAATAAAAATACTGTCAGCTGTTGGTCATCAAAGAGGATTAAAATCAACTTCCCCACCGTCTGGCAGCAGGCACAAGTACAAGTCGCCAACACCAGAAACACTTAAATCACAAACTGGATATTTATTAGGGTTTAACGCTCAGAAGCAGAGCTGCAGGGGACCAGCAGGTGGAGCTGGAGCCCGATATCGAATCACGGAAAATAAAACCTGACCCGATCCGGTTTTTAAAGTCGGCAGCGGGCTTTAAAACAACAAAACACTAAACTAACCAACTGATGGCACAAACACGAGCGAAGAGGCTGCTCCAAAATTTGCTGCAAATTTTTTCATGCCAGCCTGAAGGAATGAGTCCCAACAAAGTGGGTTCTGCATCAGCTCGGTACAAGAGTCCCTTTTCTTGTTTTTTGGCTTCTTTTTTGGTTTTTCGTTTTATCCAATTTGAACTTGTATAGATTTTTATATTCCTTAAGTAATAAGTGAAGACAATAAAATATTTCCACACTTACATTCAAGTGCTTATAGGGTTATATTGCATTGTCATCTTGTCTTAATCTACTCTAAGATGGATTTGCATTAAGCCTGCGTGTTTGAGATGAATTTACTGTAGAGAGAGAGAGAAAAGAAAAAAACACACTCTCCTTTAGAAAATAAAATGTTTCAGGATTAATCATTAAATATATTCCATTAATTATAAACAGCGTGTCTAAATCACCTATCAAAACATTAATCAATTCACATTTAAGGAGCAGGAAGAGTACAGAGGCACAGAAGCTTATTGCTGCCACAGATGTGATAAATGTAGAAATACTGCGCTCAGATATTCACATTTCTTTAACAAGGCTGTGATCTGTGTTAGGGAAGAAGGGGAGGGGGGGGTGAACCACAAGCAGTCTGGTTAATGAAGCCAAATCAGAAGAACTAATCATCAGGTTATGACGTCGGCCTCCACAGTAAAGTGCTCACTTCACATGTGAAGAACATTTGAGGCTTCGGGAAAACTATTGTGCAACGTGTGAGGAATCTTTGCAGTTTCAATGGCCGCGCAGGGGCGACAGTATCGCCATGTAAACAAACGGCAACGAGCCATAACTTTGGAAGTTCAAGTTTGCTTTTTTCCCCTCCTCAAAGTGGAGTTTGTTAGTACCAGGGCTGAGCGATGGTTCGACAGACGTCGTAATAATACAGGAGCTGAAAGATGGGTGTGAGATCATCTCAGCTACATGTTTCAGTCCCTAACACCAAATATATAGCACCAACTCTCCGATATGGTAAATCATGCAAAATAAAACATGTTTACAAAGCTGCGAGTAAAACAGACGCTTTCGGACCAAAGAGTTCCAACAATCAGAGCTTTTTTTCTTCCTTTCTGATGAAAACTGAGTTGAATAGAAAAACTTAGAAAAGACAGACCAAGGAAGGAGCTGTGGGGGTTGTAATTTACTACGCAGTAATACTGTCCTTCACTGCCTCACTGTGAGTGACTCCTTGATGTACAGGACTGGTTTAAATCTATGGATCTTCCCAGGAACGCAGCTGGACTCCACAGTGATGACAACCGTTATTTAGCTCTCTCATTTTGCCAATGCAATAGTTAGTGTGTGCCCGTTTTTCCATTTTATTAGCAAACTACGGAAATGCTCCAACTCGGCTCTGAAGTCAGAAAAATGACAATATTTGACCTGATGAGTCCAAATCAGGTTCTTAAAGCCTGGACCAATGTCTCTGTGTTTTACTCTAATTTTATTTATCTGTTTATTTGTAAATATACAAGTTGTCAGTGCTGCCACAGCAAACACCAACGTCACTAAAGGCTCCTCTTGTGCTGGAGTTGTCTGTAAACTTTATGGCCTCATTCCTGAAGTGCAGACATGCAGAAAGGTGCGACTTCCTGTCAGAGTCGAAGGAACTGCAAAAGTCCGAAAGCAGCTCAAGCGTTTGGCTGAACACCGAATAACCCGCTTTATTAAGACGACTGTAATACTGTTAAATTCAAATGGTGCTATAATGAATTTGCTGCAAAATTTAACACCACGAAGAAAAAAAATATTCTTATGACTCCTGAAATTCTTTTAATTAGATGGCCTTTGTATTCATTTATTCACCAGTCAGAAACTAAATAACTGACATTTAAACATCACTCAGCCCTTTGTAGTACCAACCACGTGACATTTCATATTGCTTTTAAACAGCGATTTCATCCAGCTCTTGTCCAAGCTGGACACAGAAGTTTTTGATTCTCACCAAACTTTTTTAATGCACTTTTATTCAAAGTGTAATTTAATCCAAAGTGCCTCACAATGAGCACATACCTCTGACTGTTCTGTGTTAGTACCTTGCTCCAGCCGCGTGGAGAGAGACGTGTTTATGAGTGGACTTCCATCTGACTTGCATAAAGGTTTGTTCCAACGGGACATTATATTTTCATTAATAAGCCTTCTGTTAAACTTCACTGCATTGAATGCATCGACACACCTGCTACTCCTTCGCTTCCTATTTTAACCACAGGAGGAGCAAAAGCTGCAATTTGCTTTTTTAAAATCATTATTATTATTAATAATATGATTCATAATGACAGCATAAGTGCATCTAAATCTTCCAACTAACATTAGGAAACAACACAAATCTGGCTGATCATTGGTTTTAAATGGCCCACTGCTGGGTCCTTGTGGCATAGGAGCTTCTGACCAGAGGTCAGGTGAGGGGAGGAGACTGGGGGTGGGGGGGGGGGGACAGACTGGGGGAGGCAGGTGGCTCCACAGTGTTGGGTCCTCACGGTAGAGACTCCTCTAAGACTTGCCTGCGTTGGCCACAAATGGGACTGAGCCGAAGAGATCCTCTGGAGGAAGGGGCTTGGCTGCGGCAGGCGGCGGTCGGTCAGTTTCCACGCTCGTTGTCCTCTCCGCTGGCTTTTCTGTACATAAAAGATCACAATTAGATATCTACAGCTACGAGGTGATAGAAGTAGTTTTGAAATTAAATATTGTTGCATATGATTGTGGGTGTTACTGATAAATGTTCCCTCAAATATGTACAGACTCCCACAGCTCTGAGAATACACTCAGTAAGAGCACAATGCCCAAAATCTGCTATTTTAACAACAGAAAAATGTTTATTCTCCATCTGGTTAAAAAGCTAAATAAACACGGTGATACACAATCATGTGGTTCACATGCCAGATTTTTCCCTTTATCTGAAAAAGACATTAACGAGGAGCTGAAATGTTTACAGAAAATTTCTCCGTCTACGGCAACACTTTTCAAACAATCACCTCTTTTCTTTCTTTTCTTGAAATGACAAAAGAGTTAAAACGTTAGAGTTCACTTGCTTGCTCTGAGCATGTCAAATTCCCGGTCAAGCAGCTCCTCCTCGGTCAATTTAGAAAAGTTGTCCTCTCCGAAAGGGTTCCAGCCTGACATATCGGGAGGGTTGCTGACTGCACTGCTGCAGCTCTGCAAAGGAGGGGTGACCCCATCTGTGGACAGCAGAGGGTTCCTACGGCAGAGAGAGGACAGCAAACAGACCACGTTAGAGACAATACCAATCAGATATTTCTAAGACTTCACAAACTGCATGCGTTTTCCAAACAACCGATAGGACTGAAAAAACCCAATGCTGAAGTGAGAACAAACGGCTGAGGTCACAGTGCTTGCATCCATCTTCAACATACAGATGATCAATGTAAATCCCATTTTCACATCACATAAAAACTTTCTATATGCTTAAAAATGGAAAGAAGGGAAATACTCTCACATGTAGAAGGAAACCAATCTAATTTCACTTCCACAAACAGATTCAAAGGACATTACCTGGGGTTAGTGTATGAGGGATCTACAGGAGATGGCCCCCCCATCTGGCAAGTACCAGCTCCAGTTCCTGTGGTGGGTGTGGTCGCATTGTAGGAACCCAGAGGGATTTGGAACTCAAGAGGGGAAGACATATAGGGGAGAGGCTGCTGAGCAGGATGATGCTGCTGCTGCTGTGGATGTTGTTGATGATGTTGCTGATGCTGCTGTTGTTGCTGGACAAAAGCCTGTTGGTACTGTTGCAGCTGTTAGGGAAGGAAGAGAGGGAGAAGAAGGGGGGGAGGGAATGAGGGACGGACCATTGATTTCATGGCGCATTATGATGATGAAATGTTGTTAGAAACCAGTTCTGGATTTGGAAAGCTGGGGACACGGTGGAGGGGAGGGATGAGGGAATGAAAGTCAAAACAGCACATCGAACACCAAACTGAACACATCAACTAATAACGACTAACTCAAACTATGGCTGACAGATCAATTTTCTGGCCAATCAGAGAGTCCGAAACACTTCGAAACAAGATGCTCAAGTCAGTTAAAGTTCTGGGGTATTGATCTGGTCAACCACACGTGGGAGATTCCAGGAGACAATCGTTTCAGGAGAGCTGGACAGGGCCACAGAAGGCCCTTAACCCATCAGCAGGGCCGGTATCGACTTCTTTGTACAAGGTGGAACAGGATGAACACTGCCAGAACCCTACAGAAGGCCACTGGTGTGAATATTTCGGACCAAACAACCAAAAAGAGACTTCACGAGGTTGGCAGTTCCAACACTGGCACCCTGTGCTTTTCACAGAAGAGAGCAGGTTCACCCTGAGCACATGTGACAGACGTGAAGGGGTCTGGAGAAGGCGTGGAGAATGCGATGCTGCACGTAACATCGTTCAGCATGAACAGTTTGGTGCTATGGTCCATGATGGTCTGGGAAGGGATATCCATAGGCAACATCACCCTAACTGCCAGAAGGTGTGAGGATCAAAGCCTTGGACCCACAGTCAAACCCTACACTGGAGCAGTGGGTCCAGGGTTCCTCCTGGTGCACGACAACGCTTGGAGGATACAGGAATTGATAACATTGACCGTCCCTTAACGCTCGCCTGACCTAAATCCAATAGAAAACCTCTGGGTCTTCATGTTTAGGGTCATCCAATCACTCATGATCTGGGAAGAGATCCCAGAGGACACCATCCATCACCTCATTAAGAGCATGCATACAAGCGCACAGGGGACAAGTACCTTTTTAAGTTGCTGCAATGAAATTTTTGCAAAATGGACCAGTCTGCTGCATCAGTTTTTCACTGATTTTCAGTGCGTCTTTGAATTCAGGGCTCTGCAGGTTAATAATTTTAAGTTCTATAAAATGATGTAGCAGTTTTACCCAGTCCATATCAGTGCAGATATCTAGCATAATTTGTTCCCCCATTGCAGTCTCATGTGTTTCCAAAGTGTTCCTTTAATTTGTTTGAGTAGTATATAAATAAATTCTGCAAATGACGACGAAATGAAAAAATACAGTTTATGGTTCACCTTTTTCTCTAAATCCTCTAGTCATCCAACACTTTCTCCACTCTCCAAGTTTGTAAAGCAGTTTTTTTCCACACTGCTGTTGTGCATTTAAAGTACCGCACAAATGAAACTGATCCAATGTCATTAAACCATATTACAAATGTGCAACGCGTCTTCCTCACAATAAGGAGCAGGTCTAAGATCGGTGTGGAAATGCTGCTTTTTAAACACTAAGCAGGTATCTTGGGAATAAGAACAGTAATTCTGAGCACTCGCCTCTTCCCCCGAATATGAACCGCTTCATATGTCAGAACGCAACATAGATAAAACTGCTCCATTTCACCCTCTGTTCGATCCCCTCGTGGCTTCGCTCAGACCAGATTGCCTCTGAAATAAAACAGATGGTACGCGCTCGGTGGGAAACAGACTAAAAATTACGCCGCCCTTACAGTGCACATTTGGAGGACCTGTGTTTGTGTGTTTGATTCAGTAAATACTAGTTTTCAGAATATTTGGACAGATTCAGTAGGAAGTTTGAGCGTCTGCTTCCAATGCTGCTTGGCACAGACGTGAGGAGATTCGAGGGAGGAGGACTGGCTGCCAGTGTTTGGAACAGAGAGCAAATTTAGGCCATTATGACATTAAATGAAATATTCAGCTCCGTGTTATTTCACGCTGTGTCTCCATGTGTTTCGCTGTCATTTGCTCAAACTATTTACTGCAGTTTTGGATAAAGTCTTCTGCTCTGAAATGCTGTCACGTTTTTTTTTCCAGTCGCTTGAACAAAAAGCAAATTCAATTTGATGGCTGTCGATTCAAGAGCAGACTCCACATAAGCCAAGTCGCACAAGGCCAAAAAGGGGCCACATGTTTGTTGATATGGCCAGAACAAACTGAGAATTTGAAATTGAGATCTGTCCAAGTCAAGTATTACCTTCTTGATTTTTAAATATTGAGCATTGGAGCTACATGACTACAGGTAGATAGACTGGGAGCCATTTCTGCTGTTTGGTGTCTGGGTCTTGGCTGCAGACCCAGCTCTCTTCAGCAGGAGAAACTGCATGAGCACTGGAAGTGGTCCACAGGTGCGCAAAACAAAGATGATGTTGAATTAAACCAAACGTCCTTTTTAAACATAACGAATGCAGTCACCAAAGTTTAGGGTATCTTATTGCATCACTGGGGGTTTTGGCGTCACATCTAGACCTCTGAAAGGACTCACCATGGCGGCGTACTGAGCCTGAGCAACCTGCTGCTGATACATCATCTGCTGCTGCTGCTGCTGTTGGAGCATGGCCTGTTGTTGCTGCTGCTGAAGCATGGCCTGTTGCTGCTGCTGTTGCTGGAGCATGGCCTGTTGCTGCTGCTGCTGCTGAAGCTGAAGCGACTGCTGCACAGCCTGTTGGTACTGAAGTCAAAATTAAAAAAAAAAAAGTTTGGAAAACATTGCCTCCAAGTGATGGCTTAAAAATGACTGATGCGTAATAACTGGGATCATGGTGTGACGTACCTGGAGGTATTGGAGTTGATGTGCATTTGCATGTTGTTGCTGCACTGCCTGGTGGTGGTGATGCTGTTGTAGCTGCTGCAGACGCAAATCACCAGGTTGTAGCTGCTGCAGGACTCTGTGTTGTTGACTGCTGGCCTGTGGCTGAGGCTGTTGCTGAGGCTGAGACTGTATGGATGGTTGCCCAGAGCCAGGAGTGGGAGCTGAGAGGTACAGATGAACAGTGTTTGTTCTTTAGACTCCAGAAAAGGAAATAACAAGTAAATCTAAATTCAGGATATCGAGGGGTTTATATATTCAGATATCACATGGTGACGAGAGCTGAGCCGGTTGCTGATTTACCAGTCAATCAACATTCTGCCTACATCCACAGATGAGGATGCAGGCAATGAGCAAAACATTGCAGCATTATCCTCATTTGGAAGATATTTAGTTCGGGAATTTATGCATAAATAAATAATCATAAATAATTTTCAGTAATTTTAAGAAATGTGTTTTGGTTTGTTTGAAAATAATATGTGTATATAGTCTGTACTGTATTTAGTCAAAATAAAGACTTTTAACAAACTCCTTTAAGACATTTTCTTAGATATAAAAATCCATCCTACTGATGTTTAACAAACCTTTCTGGCCGTTGCTGACGGGTGCTGAAGGCACGGTCATCTTGACAGGGGTGACAGTGTTAGTGAGCGGCAGGACATTACTGTTTGCAGCCTTTGGCCGCTGTCTGGGAGCTATCGATGTTTCCGTTGGGCCCACAGAGTCTGTGATCCTGTAAAGGAGGAAGCAAAAGTGTCCCTCAGCATGTGCAGGAAGAACTGTACTATGTGCGTTTGTAACAGCTGACAGGCTGTGATCTCAAGAGGTAAAAAAAACAAAAAAACAACAACAATAAAATAAAAAATGAATACATAAGATTAAAGTAATCCATCATTTCCATTTTCAGTTTATACATAATAAAACTGTCGGTGAGCAGCACCTGGCTTTCGTCAAGCTCTTCTTAGCAGCGACCTCGCTGGCTGTCAGAGGCTCAGGGAGTGACGTCGGGATGGGAGAGTTCTAGATAAACAGCAGGGAGGTTCATTTTAATAAGCCAGTGAGGAAAGGCTAAAGACATGCTGACTGTTTTATGCCTGTGACTTACGAAGAGATTTGGCACTGGACAGTCTTTTCCAGCTAATTTGAAGGCAAAATAGGACACTTGGTAAATGTCAGGTCTCTTCTCCTGGTCTGGTTCGAGCATATATCCTGAAGAAGATTAAAGATCACTTTATACACTACAAGAGCAATATTTCTACAGTTAATTAAAAGGAAGTTTCAGTTACTTGAAACAAAAGTAAAAAGTAGACAGTTGAAAAAAAACTATTTGAAACCACTTTCATGCATTTGTTCACTGACCTTTTGCTTGTTGGGCAATTGTGTAAACCACTACACTATTGAGCTGCTGTAATATCTTGTCCTCTTGATTGTTTTGCTTTGATGTAGTTACTTATCTAAGGTGGAAAGTTTTTTTTTGTTTTGTTTTTGCTTTCTTTTATTCTTTGCTTCGAGCCCTGTGTACAGGAGCTGCATGCAAAAAGATCTTTCGTTAAAAGGGTTGGCGTAATAAGCAAATGCTTCAGCCAATACCTTTTGATTAGCCTTGTCTCATGCTTTCTTGCTTTGTGGTAGATCTTTGTTCTGTATTCATTGAGATAATTGAATGCTAATCAATAAAATCAAAATCAAATCAAATCTCGTCTAAATTCCTAATTCTTGACCCTGACATTATAATAATTAAGAGAAATCTTTTCTTTTAAAACTAAATATTTTTAATCCAGAACAATGAAACAGTAACCAGCAAACCCACTCTGCAAAGTAAGTAAAGCTAAATTAAAAATATATTTATATAAAAAAAAAATACATTTAAAAAAGTTTAACTATATCAACTCTGGTGCAGAACAACATGTATTTGGCATGTATCGTCTTCCCTTGACCACTTGGTGGAGCTGTTTGTCAAGTGTTTTAAAAAGGAAGCTCCGCCACAGGATACATTTGGGGAAGTGAAATAACTTGAGCACAAACAAAGCTGTCGTGACTGACGTCCTCGACTGGTTCAAACAGGCTTGAGTTGGGTAAATGCATTAAAAAAAAAAAAAAAAAAAAAAAAAAAAAAAAAAGACTGAAAGAGATCACTCTGTGGGTGACAACAGCGGAGAAGAAACCACACTAAAAAGGTGGAGACTGTAACATGGCTTTGTATTTCTTATATTTATCTGTGAAATTACATCAAAGTAACATTTGTTACGGTCAAGCCTAAAGTCAAGCTCCATAAAGCGGGAGACGATTTCCAATTTAAACAACATTTTTTTCACATCTTTGATAATCTGCAAATGTGGGAGACAAATTGCAGACAGAATATTTTGCTCGTTGACAAAATGATGTTAAATAACTACTGAATCAAAAAAGACACCACAGGAAAAAACAAAACAAACGAAAGTTATTCTGGATAGTTATTAATAACTACAAAGCTGTATTCAGCTGCTCCGTGTGACACGTTAAACTCCAACTTACTGATTAAACAGTGCAACTTGAAGGAGAATTTGGAGTTATCTGGAACAATAAAGGTTCCATCACATATGGCGACTTGACTCTCCCCAAATGGAAGTGCGAAGAAACACAGCTTGTACAACAAGCATCCAAGTGCCTGTGGAGAAAACAAACAATCTGGTCAAACACCTGTATCCAGTTACTTTGAGGATGGGCACTGCTAGAGACTCAGCCCCAGTGCCAACATCATACCCAAGTTTTGTTAGTGTGTATTCTATCGCAAAACCCAAAACACCCAGCGTGAGGAGTGTATCCATGTCTTCAATTCAAACACCACCTCATTTTCTCCCAAAATAAAGCAGCTAATATTGATAATAATAATAACAATATCTCATTAAACATCAGATGCCATGGAAGTTTTTGATGCAGACACATTTTGTTTATAACTGAAGAAATACTAGGTTTGTTCAACTAAGCCTGAACAGCCCAAAGGATTTAAAGCAAAACTCTGTAAGTACCCAAAATACCCATCAGAACCTGGGTGCTTTCCTCCTTGCCCTGAGACAATGACGATACAAACAACAGTGATAAACTTTAAATGCATGTTTCCTGAATTACTGAACCACTGAAATTATCTTTAAGATGTTTTCAGTAATTTGGTGGCATGTGATAAAATTGACTGATAGGCTTAAATAGAAAACAAATCAAGATTACCATTAAAGGATACAAGAAGTCTTTGTAAGAAGTCTAAGATGATGTGTGCAGGAGAATTATCAATGGTGCTCATTGGTATTCATCACATTAAAAGAAAAGAAAAATGGGATTCTACAATCACTGAATAGATCAAGAAACCATGCCCTGGCCCTCGAAATGATGCTTCCTTTCTCTTCCTACAGAGGTGCACAGGTCCTTATTAGAAAATAATATTTTTATTCATGTCACACGCTAAAAAACTGTGTTTACAAAATCAGGCCCAGAGTCTGCTCTGCAGGCAGTATGGCTGTCCAAACAAACCGGCATGCAAAAGTGCTCTGAACTAAAACATATATTCAGCTTAAGCTACATTTGGCTCCAGTATCCAGCATATCTGCTGACCATGCAGTTTGGGATGAAAGAGACTTTGGAATTAGCCGCCCCATTAGGGAACGGTTTCCCTTTAAGCGCTCCATCTGATGATAGTCTGCACCACTCTCCTTAACAAGCTAATCCAGGCTGATGCTCTTAATCTAAGTGAGCCAGCGTGACCACCAAACAACCCCACAAAGTAGGAATAAACGCTTAAGAAATGTGTGTGAGGCACAGCTCACCGTCAGGCACATGGCTCAAAAACAGGAAGTGACAGCACATGGGGTAGTTGACAGGAAGCTGGGGGTTTTTTGGACTCCTACAGTAGGCATTTTCCTTCGACCAGAGACTGAATAGCTCTAACAGACTGAAGCCACTTTCATCAGGCTGTGCTGAGCCGTGCTGTCTTACTACTGACTGACTATGTATTCATAGAGGAAGCATTAAAGAAGTATTTTATAGACATGCAAAGTAAAAGGATCGACCTTAATCTCATCATCTGGAGCAGCTTGATAATGGCAAAAATCATCATCACTTTATTACTGATGTACGATATTGATGCATAAATCTGACATTTGGATCAGATATCAGTCCGAGCCCGACTCAATAACCCTGGTCAGGTATCTGTGACAATGGGCTCATCTACAGGCCCATCTGTTAGATTCAGTTTAATGACACTTTGCATTTATGCGTTGGCAACAACTAGCCAGAGATCTAACGTAGCATGGAGTAGGCAAATGGCATGGGGTAAAGAGTGTGGGGCCTTTAATTCTTTGTGAAAGTTTCTGATTTGACTAGATTTGACACCACAGCTTCTTCCAATCTACTAATAATTTTAGGTCTTTTTTAAATGTTTCAAACAAAATAAGATGCTTACTAAACATTCTAAGAAATAAAACACTAGTTGTCCCATTATCAGCCACATCCTTGGCTGTTTTACGTCATTAACGTACACAATTCCTCAATAATGGCTCCTGTCCAAACACTTGTTTCTGCTTCTCTGCCTCTTTCTTTCAAAACAGCAGAGGCCCATTTCACACAAGCCTATCAAGGCCCTTAACTGAGTCTAATAATCACATATGGACCCAAAATGAAAAAGGACGAGGAGCAGAGAGGGAAGAACAACTAGCTTTGTTGTGACTGATGTTGCTCAATGTTTTATGAAGGAAAAACGCTGCTGGAGAGCTGGTGGAGGCAAATAGCTGGGAGAGAAAGAACCTGTCGGGGCAGAGTACTGCCAGGCCAAACCAGCCCTGCAGCCTGCGTAACACACACAGACAGCATACATACAAACAGGGAAGGACCTTACCCATATATCAGCCTTAGTGGTGATGGCTTTTCCTGCATACAAGTTAATCATCTCCGGCGCGCGGTAAGAAAGGGTTGTGTACCTGTACAACACAACAACAGGAAGTAATAGATGAAAGTATGTCCTGTTCAAAAATCCAGCACTGCTAGGAACTTTCTCCCCGTCATTCACTGCTGATTTACATTTCTACTCTAACACATTTTCAGTATTTGTAGTTTTGTTTTTAAATGAAGTGTATTTCAGTCACTCAACTGATGTTTAAAATGAGTGATTACAACAGAATACAGTTAAGAGCTTGGCAACTAGGCTCTGTATTACACACAGAAAATTGGGGAGTGATTACTAAACATCCCCTGGAGCCTACAGGTGGATGCTGGGGTGGAGGAGGTGCTGGAACATATTCAGGGACGACTCCTGTGTGAAACCTGCAGCTTGAATAGGTGTGTTTGGTACAGTTTGAGCTGGCTTTGCCTGATGTTTTTGCTGGCTGTTGAAGTCACAAAATTAAAATACCTAATATATTTCAGGTCATCATTAATCTGAAATAACTGAAAAGACTCTTTGTATGTTTTCTGATTTTGCTACTAGGCAACAGGCAAGTATACATCTATTCGTTTTTGACGTCCTCAAACGCGCCACTATGTGTAGTAGCTAGAATCAAACTATTTTATTCAGCTGTTTTAACACTGACCAGGTAGGACAGGAGAGGATTTTTAGGTTTCATAACAACATGTTTGGCTCTAACAGTGAACCAAAACAAAAGATATAGCTAAGCAGCTAAACAACAGGCTCAATAAGGGGCCTGATAAAGTCAAGGGGAACTTCACATTCAAATGACCTTTTCTCTTCTGATTCATCGCTACAAACAACTTCTAGTGCAAAGCAAAAGCACATCACTGCAAAAGAAGGGTGTGCTTGATTTCACACACACACACACACACACACACACACACACACACACACACTTTCATATCTCAGTGAGGACATCTAATTGACATAATGCTTTCCCTAGCCACTTGCTGCAACCATCAAAAATGAATGTCTAACCTTAACCATAGCCTAACTGTAACCCTGACGCTAAAACCACATTTTGAGCCTCAAAAATGCCTACAAACTCATGGGGACCAGGATTTGTCCCCATGAGTGACTGTTGGTCCCCACAAGTATAGTAGCACTCCAATTTTCTGTACTCAAAGATATCCAAACATAGTACACACAAACCAGTTTTTTGTTTTTCTAGTCACTGGCCAAAGTTATAATTCAAATTCAGATTCAAACTTTTATGTGTATCGTTTTGCACTTTCACATAAATACAAGCTTTCAATGCTTTCATGACTTTGTCTGCTTCTGTTTATTGATGCACAGGAAAAAAAAAAAGCGACTGCAGGTCAGAGAGTTCCTCATTTACTGCAATAGAAGAACAAACATTTCATTTAGTTTCCTCTTCAGAATCTGTCTGATAACATTCAAAACAGCTGGTTGCATTTTGAGCAAGTCCGGCTTTGAAATGTTAGATGGAAAACCAGCTGAGTCAGCGTAGATCTAAAGCCCATTTCTGTATGACTGGGCAGATTTACACATCGTCCTATTACTGATAACAACCACACATACTGGACTTTATTGCAGCTATAAACGGGTGAAATTGAACAGGCCAATGCTGAACAGGCTTCTGTGATTTGACACTATACAAACAGAATCACATCTAAGACTGCAGATCCCTGCCATACAAATGTGCATGGGGCAAGAAGTGCCTACATAATCACATCCCATTACTGGGCATAATCTCTGATATCTGTTGGTTCTGGGCCATTACGCAGCCACCTACCACAGACGGCAGCACCTCTCTCTGCACTGGAAATTATTAAAAAAAAAAAAAAAAAAAAAAAAAAAAAAAACTAAGAAAGATAACGAGGCAAAAACTGCCAAGAAACTGCCACATAGTGCAAACTGACCTTGTTTATGTGCCTCACATTTCCTCTGAATTCAAGATTTGATTATCAGCAACGATCTTTAAAGGCTCGTAAACACGCATGCCCACACGCACACAGTCTACATCCAACAATGTTTTCACTTTGTGACTTATATTAGTTTGTTTTTTTTCCTCCATATTTTTTTTTTTAACCAAAACAACAAATATAAGGCCATGATTCTCTTTTATGGTTATCCGTTTTGTTTTTATCATCATCATCATCTATGATAGATAATGACATTTAAGCATTTTTACATTTTACTCTTGTTATACTTAATGCTGCCCATCTTAGCCCGGGACATTTTCTCACAGAATAGATTCCTTAATCTCATCAGTTTTACTACAAGAAAAATTATTATTAACAATGAAAAGTAATTAATTTGAATCCACCAGCCACAAAAACAAACTGTCATGAACATATTAACAAGTATTATATTCCACTCAGTCTACCTCTCAGTGTGAAGCAGTCCCTGATTATTCATCAGACCAATCTTATCGTTTCATATCGACTCAGAAAAAGAAAATATTTGACTTTTTAAAATGGCAAAAGGAAAAAAAAAAAAAGTCCTAATATAGAGACTTTATGGGGTTGCTGGTGGCGTTTAACAGCTCTTCCCTTACAGGACACATTTTTAAAAACATTGACAAACATCAAACAACTGGCTATGTTCAGGCCCTAAAAACCCTTACTTCTTAATCTCGTCCTCCACAGAAGCCACGCCGTCCTTCTGTGGCAGTAAAACTCTGTGAGTGGCGCTGCCAAAGTCGCACAGCACATAATTTCCTTGGTCATTCAGCAGGATATTCTCAACCTGGCAAAAAAGAAACACAGCAGGGTTTGGAATGTTTTCAGGAGAAAAATGACATAATGGAAATAAAAACTATTGGAAAAATTAATGAAAACCCTACACAGCACAGCACAGATGCACCTAGCGAGGGGGGGAAAACAACAGCAGAAGAAGACAATAATTCTAATGTGTTAGTGTGCACAGGTAAGTAGAAGTCTCTAATGTTTTCAGAGCCTCTCAGCTGCAGTCTTAGTACAACGTTTAATGTTTTAATTTCATAATTTGTCACTCCTCACTTTGACGGTTTATACCTCACTTATGGATGCTTTAGATTTCAACTGCTGGCTTTTGCTGAACATAGCTTTCAGGTCTGGTCCAAATGTTGGTAAATCATAACTAATGAGGGGCTGTTTTTTGAAGTCATCAAATCTTATCTGCAATTACACAGTCCAACCATTCGTTAATACGCTATACCCAAGTCATACTTTTCCACATTGGGGAGAGCACACCGTTCCCCAGGTGTAAACACAAAGCCACTGCCTTAGTGACACACTAAACACAACGACACCTCACTGGCCATTGTTTGCATGTGGTCTGGAACAATGCATCCTAACACGCAGGGGTCAAAAGACATCAGAAATGTCGAGATGGTCAAGAGGAAAATGAAGAAGACAAAGAAGGCCAAGAGGACAACCAAGACAATTCGCTTCTGACGCAGTTTGTGCAGCTGTTGTCCAAAATGTTTTAACCATGAAAGAAGCTGGAATGAGGTTAACACCAATAATTTCACATTTTTAATGTGTTTAGAGAGTCATCATGTGACCTAAAAAAAAACCCATAAGCCTCAGGTCTTAAAGGTATGAGTTTTAGAGTCAAAAACAAAGACTGACAGTTCATATCTGTTTTTCTTATACCGACTTTCATTCCTCTTCCCTTCAGTGCATATCTCCACCTCTCCAGGATCACTTGGACGCGCAGATCGCAACGCTGTGTGTAAACAGTCTATAGAGAAACCAATCTGCCACTGCAAACAGCGAGAGGCTCAGAGCTGATCCCTGATGCAATCAGACCCCAACCTTGAACCCAACAGTCACTCCTGAAGCACACCTCACCACTGTCTCGCTGTCTCATACTTGTCTCCTGCACCACTCGCATACATCACCACTCCCGACTTCCTAAATGCACCACAGCTCCTGTTTTGGGACCCTCATGTCCTTTCTCTAGATCCAAGTGTAACTCCCTCTGGGATTCTCAATCAGCACCATCGAAGCAAATATCACATTATGACTGCTCAGTATGAAGTCATAAAGGTGCTTCCCTGACCCTCACCTCTCTCCTTAACCTAGCTTCAACAACTCTCTCCTATAACTTCATCAGCCTTTTTTTTAAGTTTAATACTATGGTTAGTTTTTAATAAACAATTGGATGTAATTTTGAAAAGATCTCATTAGTGTGTGTTTAATGAAAAACCTTAAAAACACAGACACTGCTTCCTGGCACTCTGAATTTATTTGGAAAGTCAGACTGGTATGAAGTATTCCACTAAAATCACATCAGCTGTGATAGACAGATGAGCAAACAACCAAACGGTGGCTCGTCGACTCCTATTACATTATACAGAGATTCCATCCTCACAAAACCTGATCTAACACTGATGTTTCAGCTGAACTGAGCAAGCCAGCTTTGTGTGGGTTTAATGCCTCATTTTTCAGTTAATATTTCTACCTTCTGAGGCAGAAAGAAATGAAAAGCAACCAGGAATAAGATTTTAAAATTAAACATCTGAAAGGAGGAAACCAGTGATGTGTTTGTGGGAGATGTGGCAGAAAAGATGAGACCAAAAAGACTTTAAACTGTCCAAGGAAAACCTGAGCTAATGAAAGAAACAGTGAGTGCCTCAATCTGTTGACAGCTCAGGGTTAAGGGCCTTTTTTGCACTCTCACTTCCCCTGGCACTGCGTGACTGGGCCTCCGCAGTCTTTTGTGTCCCTGCAACGTTATGTAAGCCGTGTAGGCTGAACAGATAGACAGCGAACAGAGGACCAGCCTGTGGAGCTGAAGGGACTGCACTGTTTAGAGGCTTGTCCAACTGGACTGAGTACAGCAGTGCACTGATGGGGCCACTGAGGAGGATTCAACTAGGGTGGGAAATTACCACCAGTCTCCAGGCATCAGCAAATGAGGGCAAATCTGGCTTTTAGCCACCCTTTGAATTAGAAATCTAAAAATTAAAGTGGGTTAAAGTTGGCCAGGAAGATTTAACTTTGGAGCTCTGGAACAATCCGGAAAAGGTCATAGATGAGCAACAAACGGGGTTATCGGACGAGAGGAAGGAGCGGAAGTAAGTGAACGAGCTGGCAAAGGAAGCAGCGACACGTAAGAGGAAGCAGAGGAGTGAGAATGAGGGGTGAAGTAAAACTAAAGCATTCCTCCTGCTGACCACGCAAATTTAGTTCACTTATAAATAACATCTGATATTTAATTAAATAGAAACCTGCTTAAACTGCAAACCAGAGTTACTCATTCTGTATGCGTCTGCTGCACACACACACACGTCTCCAGGAAAGGGTTTACAGTTTGCAGGTGACACACTTTTCTTTAACCGTAAAGTTAATCATTTAACAAATCCGACACTGTTTAACAGTTTCAGATTTCAAACTGTAATAATGTGTAGACATCGCATTTAAACAAAAGTTATATTTTAATATTTCACCAACTAAACTGTTGGTTTATCTTACCTGGTGCCTTATCCTATTAACTTCACTAAAGCTCAAGTGGTCTTTCTTTTCTTCATTTGTGTGGATGAACATCTGTGTAAGTGTGATTTTTGCAGTCAGGCCGCGCTTTTTAAAAATACAAAATAACACGTTAGTTTTTTTTGGGTTTTTTTGTTTTCTTCTGTGGGGTGATTGAGCCCTTTGAAATTCGTTAATGTACATTTACCTTTCTATGTTTTACGCTGCACAAGTGTAACTGTCACCAACCCATCTGTCCATCATTTAAGCTTCTTTCATGAAACAGAGGAGGGGATGGAAAAGTACAAAAATACCGGCCTCACCTTAAGGTCTCTGTGGATGATGGGCGTTTTGCATTGGTGCAAGCGGGCCACGGCCTCACACGTGTCACAGAAGATGTGGAGGACCTCAGCCTCGCTGAAGCCCACGTTTAACCGCTGGTTCATTTGCTTCACTACCTGCCCCGCTGCAGAGAGAGAATAAAGGGGTTGGAGAGACCGCTTTAGGAGTGAAAACAGATCAAAACAATACATAATAGTTTTATGTTTGACCATAAAAACTATTATCAGCTATTCTCAGTAACTACTGTACTGTTTGCATGTAAACTTATTCTGATGAGGGCAAAACTGCTTTAAAGGGCAGTGCATGATCAATATAGAGGCCAGGGGTGCTAAAATAATAATCACACTTTAATCTCAATTACTCAACACAATTCTTTAACTTATGATGCTTGCATTAAAGGAAAAAAGAAAGAGGCAAATGCTGCTGGGCACAAAGGGTTGCCTGGTAGACATCGGTAATGGCCATCATGACTCCCGGGTGGGTTTCTTTTGTCTATGAAGCCAATTTTACACAATGGTAACAAAATGATCACGCAAGCCCGCCTTACCATGAGAACAGATGGGGGCAAAAAGACGACTCAGAGCTTTATAAGTACTAAAAGCACAGTGCTGTAAGGCAAGCACTTCATTTATAACCAAATATTTAAAAAGTTAGAAAACAGAAATGAGAGTCTCAAAGCAAAAATAAATGGAAGAGACCGGTCTTATTTCAGTTATTTTGTTTTTATAATTATTCAGAAGCCGAAACTCAATTAATCGTTTAGCTTTAAAAACTTAAATAGTACCAATGCAAGACGATGCAGAAAGCAAACAAAATGCTGCACATTTTTACTTTTTCCTTACACGTTTATTCCTCTGCCTCTTGGACTTTATCCTAAATTTGCTTAACTGGTGAAGTTTGTGCTGATTAATGGAGCCATTGTGCTTGTTGTTCTTGCTCTGCCAAACCATGCCATATGACAAAAGTGGCGTCCTATCTGTGGGCCATTGTGTTGCATCAGCTGGTCGAGTAAGTCTCAATTTTTTACAGTTTTAATGATATATCAGTACAGAACAGATTAACAAATATAGAGGGAGATGTTGCAACAGTTTGAAAAGACAAGGCTTTCTGGGGGGGGAAAAATTGCAGAGAAAAAAAACCCACCACGTTGGTTGCTTTGGCAACCAATACTGGAGTCCTACCGCACTAACCCAACAGTAAGCCAGCCAGCTTATTATCACCTAGTTAGCAGATTATTCATTGCTTGTCCTTTTGTGTTTATTTTTTTCCCCCCAACCTAAACAAAAACAGAACTCAAACCAAAATAAAAACCAGAAGTGCTTTTTAAAAAATAGAAACGACTACATGCATAAAGCAGAACTATGAGGCCTGTCAGAACATGTTTATATTTACAGGGACAGGTTGTACCTTTACAGTACTCCATAAGGATCAGGACCTCCCACACGCTGTCTGACGCAGGACTGATCGTAGAGTCCAGGTAACCAACGATGTTCTTATGGCCCGACAGCTCTTTCTGCAAAGAGGAAGAAAACGGGGGAAGAGCGTGACAGAAAGAAATATCAAACACGTGCTAAACAGCAACACAAAGAATCAACTGATGTGATAAAAGGATCGTCAGACTGGACACAAACTTTTCTTTTCCTTCTTTTTAGTGAGTGCTGGTTCATGTTTAGACATGTGTAGTGTTGCTCCTATATTGCTTCAGTTATGGTTCAACCAGCTATTGAATGTAGAAGCATGAAAACCACAGTCTGAAATAATGTGCTGCAAACTGCTTTAAAGACTCCCGTCATGTTAATCAGAGACGAGTCACCGATGAGCCAAACACTGCATAAAATCTTACACACTGCAATTGTTTGTTTGTTTTTTAATTCATCCATACAATAAAATAAATTCTCCTAGAATTAAAACATCTTCTGAATTATTAAAATGTTTTTCTTAAATATTTGTAACTGCTGGCTTTGCCAAGTATGATTGGAAGAAAAACACAGGTGTGAGTGCAATTCAGCTGCTTCAGAGGCGAGCTCTGTTTGTTTTGGTTTTTCACTTGATAACTCATGCTCTTACACCATGCTCATCTCTTAACTCTGTAAGGCTACGTCCACACGTAGCCGGGTATTTTTTAAAACGCAGATTTTTCTATGCGTTTGCACCTTTCGTCCACACGTAAACGGCGTTTTCGGTCACTGAAAACGGAGATTTACGGATATTTTCGAAAACTCAGTTTTTGCATTTACGTGTGGACGAGGAAAACGGAGAAAACGCAGCGTCAAAGGTGTGCGCCTTTTTTGACGTCACACTGTGCGCCACGTTATTGTTTCGGTGAAATGAATTTCTACATTACTGTTACTTGTACTCTCTGCAGTGTTTAAATGCTTACATATACACACACAGTTACTGTCCCTCCTCACATACGACTCTGTTCTGCTTCTATGCCCCAGCTTTGTTTACCATTTCCCACCGAGGCTTCTAGACTTCTGATTGGCCAACATTTCTACACGGTTGGGAATATATCACCACCTGTTACTTTGGCATGTTCCTAGCAGTGTTTTCCTTCATTTTTGCGTTCACGTGTGGATGGGATTATTTTTTAAAACGAAAATGGAAAATCTCCGCTTTCAAAAATATCCGTGTACGTGTGGATGTAGCCTTAATCTTAACTTTATTTATTCTTGTATTATTAATGCATCAGAGCACATCTGCTGGTTCCCAAAGGGCAGCACGAGGAGAGAAACTGCAGCATTTCTTGGAAACCGACACACCTACAGTCGTGTCCTGACAGACCTGAACTGTGTCAGAGTTTAAGGTCAGCTGTGTGTGTGTGACACATTGTTCCAGTTGATGAAAAAGAATTGACACACAAAGCTGACTAAACAGCTCACAGTGAGCTGTTCCTCATTAGGACAGAGGAGAATAACATGAAAGCAGGAAAAGAGTGAAGGGAGTTGCATATGTGAAATGGTTATGGGTGGACTCAAACCCAGGACCTTGCAGCCTTTTGGCATATGGGTTGCCCACTCAACCAGGTGAGCAACCCAGCTTGCTCGTGACTGAAGTATTTCTTAAAATAAAATAAAATAAATCATTCATTAAAACTCCTTTTTAAACTCAAACTGAGACCAGAAAAAGGTTAAAAATGCAGCAATACAAACTTTTGGCACTATAATGACATTTTCAAAATAAAAGCCTCTAATGAGTTACAGGAAGTTAACAGGGTTCTCAGAATTGTGTCAAAGGCTCTAAATGAACACTGCACGTGAGCTGTAGAAAATATACCTGGACATAAAAGGTTCAGACTTTCAAAACAAAAGCCTCAAATGTATTTATCGTTTTCCTTTTTTACCGTTTATGAAATGCTGATGCTGCTCATTTATACAAACCTGAATAAGGTTTAATAAGTAATAGACCAGGTGCGGCAGGAGCAACAATACCAGTAATAGAAGACCAAGAGCAAGACGCATAACCTCATGATAAATCTAATAAATGACCCACAGAGCTGCATATCATCCTCATCACACCAAAGTTGTAGGAGAGGATGACGGACATTGGTAGCAAATTTTGTAAAACTATTGAAAAAGCACTTACAATGGGCACACAACTTACTCCACTGTCATATGACGATAAAGTAAAAGTAATTATCTAAATTTCCACAATGTTACTGAAACACTTTAGCAATAAAGATAAGCACAAAGGCTTTAAGTGTAGTTGAAATGAAGGAACACTGATGCTGCTCTCACCATGATAGTGATCTCTCTCTTGTAGACATTCAGGTCCGGGACATTGTTGACGTACATCCTTTTGAGAGCACAGCGTACACCGCTGTGCGTACGAGCCAGAAACACCACAGAGAAGCCTCCTGTAAGAAGACGGAATGATAAGTTATCTTTACATCAGCTGCTTCGAAACTTTCTCTTGTATGGAAGTTATTGTACAGGATAACATGAGGCTTCAGACGGAGGCACTCTATGTATAAAACTTCTCACTTAAGATTCTGTATTGAGTCTCGTAATGGAAAATGGCTCACGTTCCAACATGATGATAAGTGCATTTAAACTTCTTTTTTTTTTCTTTTTTTTTTAATAAACCATCCATGTCACTCGTGGATGGTTATCAACAGTTCATCCAGACTGGTGGCCAGGCAACAAAGACACGTGCACATGCCAAACAAGAACTTCAAGGGTTGAAAAGTGAAGGTAACAAACCAAAATCTCCCCAAACGGATGACATTTCTTGATTCCCTTGTGTAAAACAGCAATTACAGACTGTGTATAATGAAGTATTCTGAAAAGGACTCCAAAATGCTGATTAACCAGCAGCTAACAGGTTAAGGATAAGCTTATTTGGCCTGCATGGTCTGAACTCCAACTGGATCTAATTCGGACTAAATCACGCCATTTTCCTTTTAAACCACAGTGGATTTCCAACAGAAAGTGGAAAATTGAAGTTTAGGGATACAGTGTGCCAATGAAGACAGATGTGCCAGTGTGTGCTGTGATGGGGCAGCCTTTGGTCTGATTACCAGGGGTTTGCTGAGTCACTGAGTGGCGGGCATCAAAGTCCACTGACCACAGAGAGGAATGAAAGCTCTACAATGGTGCACTTGTTATGAAAGTCACCTCAGGACAAAAGACCACATACTCACTACAATCGGAAGTTGTGTTTTAATGAGGGGAGTGCTACATAAGTGTATCTGATTAATGACGGTTACATCTGTGTGTCCTTGTGAGGACAGTAAACAGAAGACAGCAAGCCCCGGTCTGGCAAAGAGAACATAAACAGACTGAAGCAAAGTGTTTGCTTATATGTGGTCGCAACAGTGTGTTAATGTAGCACACATTATCAGATTGGAAGGAGTGGATGAGGTCATCCCACAAGCTCAGAACAGAACAAAACAGGGAGCTAAAGACAAGAGGACAAGCTGCTATGTTAGAGCTGTGTTCAGTGTAAATGTGACACTGCAAATAAAATAACAGCATTCAAAATGAGACTAGTTGGGTCTATTCTTTCTAGTCTTTCCTTCAATCGGGATTGGCAGTGTCAAAAATGCCCAGAATCTGATAATTACTGGTGATTCTACGAAATCGTACAACAGGTTTCTTGAGACTAAAGTTTGACTGTTCGGATAAGCAGCCCACATTTTCACTAGAGTTTCTATAAATGCCACAAAGTGACATATTACTACAATTTTCCAGATAATAAAACACTGAATTAATTCCTCTGGGTTGGGAGAGCTTAAGTGTCTCATGGTCTTGTTCACAAGTCATGGTAAGTTGGTGTTTGAGACAGACCTGCAGATGTGCAAGCCTTTAACTCTTAAACCTGTGATTATACCCATCACATGCATAAAATATTCGTCTGCAGCGTTTTCCTTCCAGCTTTGATTGCTTCTAGGACTAGGATGAGTGGACTGGTTACGAAATGTTTCTGAAATGCGGTGGAATCAAACATTTTTTTGAGTAAACTACTTAAAAATAAGTCTTAAGCAATAAATAGACCTTTGAAGGGGTAGGGAAGCCTACCCTGAGCCTGGTCCTGCTGGTGGTTTCTTCCTGTTAAAAGGGAGTTTTTCCTTCCCACTGTTGCCAAAGTGCTTGCTCATATGGGGTCATATTATTGTTGGGTTATTCTCTGTATGTATTGTAGGGTCTACCTTACAATATAAAGCACTTTGAGGTGACTGTTGTTGTGATTTTGTGCTGTATAAATAAAATTAAGTAAATTAAATTCCTGACAGTCTAAAACAAACAGTTTTTTTCAGAAATCACCAGTTATGGTTGCAGTTTAATTTACCCCCCGTTGACTTCCTGCGACAATTTCAGTCATACTGGATAACTATCATATTCATATAAAAATAAAATGGATGCATGACTGTCGCTGCTCAGCAGCTGTATCTGCAGCCAGGCTGTCATTTCAAGATTGAAGCAAAACAGAAATTCTGCCAAGTACAAGAGCCAAAGCCGTTTACGGCTGCTGGATGCTGTTCATTGATTTGCTTTGGTCTGCCCAGCGCGCTAAGGTCAGCTTGATGGTCACTCCAAACTGCCGTGCCTCGATTAAATTGATTTCCTGTAACAAGGCAGATGAGTACAAAGCCATGAGACAGAAAACTGAATCAAATGGTGGGTTAGGCTCCTATTTAAGAGATCCTTTTTAAGACACTGGGAAGCAGTCATTCTTGCAGACTTTCTGCAAGCTGAAAAACCAAATCATTTGTGATGTGCAGCATGCTTTATGGCCCTGCTGTTTGAGGCAAAAGCTACCTGTGAGTCATCTTGAGGTAAGCTACTTTGCCACAAAGATTCAGGAAGCAGACGTAAAAATCTAACTTCAGGCAAGAAGATGTTGTGGAGGCTGAAATGGACAGGGTGACAGATTTTATAAGAAGAAATCCATTTGCTTAGGCAAGGGGCCAAGAGACTGAAAAGAGCAGTCTGTTTAAGGACACATGGGAGAAATACAGCAAAGCAGGTAAATGAATAGAGTAGAGATTTTAGGGCATTAAACCCTTGATGAGTCGATGTGCAGTCTAGTAAACTGAGGCAGTTGTCATGATGACTTTGAGGTGTGCAAATAAGTAATATCAGATGAGCAGCACTGATTGCAAGATTATTCCTGACTGAGATAATCGCAACAGGAGCAAATTATCGGCTCATCTCCGACCACAAGCATTTTGTTATTGGTTATGATACACAACAAAACCCTGAGTCATGAGTATCTGGGACATCTCACAGTACACAACCTGCAATGTCAGGAAAAAGACCAGAAACTGTTTTGTCTCAGATGTTTATTACTACTTGTCCACTAATTACTTTAATGATTATTTAATTCTTTATTTAAAAAGAGTCCCACTGAGGCTATGTCCACACTGGCCCGGATAGATTTGAAAACTGTGTTTTCGTCCACACTAGCATTTTCAGTCGTTTACCCAGAGTTGTCCGTCCACATTGAAACGGCCCAAAATGCTTACTGTCCTGCGCAAAAGCGAGTGAGAATTAAAGAAGTTGAAGAAAAGCTATCTGGAGCATGTACAAACTGATATTAATGTTTATTATTTAGGGCTCTCAAAATTGAGAGCAATCAAAACAACTGCTGTATAATGCCCTCCGCTATCTTTGTTTAATTGGTCACATGACTGCATCAAATGACTAAAATGCGTCATCATTTTAGAAAGTCTGCGTTTTCGAGTGGCCACACTGCGACGGGGCAGCTCCGTTTTGAAATGTATGCGTTTTTGAGAGCGTTTTCAAAACGCTGCGTTTTTCCTTGGGGAGAACGCCGTCTCAGTGTGGATGGGAGGCCAAAACGGAGAGAAATCGATGCGTTTTCGTTTGAAAACACAGTGTGGACGTAGCCTGAGAGTGAGATTTATGTCAGTGAGACCTGCGTATAAAAGACCAGGAAGCACAGCTGCGTTTGCAATTTAAGGAAAGCATGAGCAACAGTAGCTGCAGATATTCAAATATAAACTTATATAATATAAAAATCAGGATGTAATTTTTAAATCTAGTTTTTCAGTGTGTTAACAACAGAAAGTCCTGAGACTGAATTTAATCAGAGATAATCATGCAATGGTTTGACGTTTGCCTAAAGCATTGTAAATACACACCATACATTGCTTTCTTCTGTCCTCTTAGAGGACCATCCCACTTTAATGTACGAAATTAAAAAGATTTACCTGTGATAACTTCCGATGAATGTCTTTAAGACCAATAAAGACGCATGCATGTCAACAAAACCACTATAAACAAAACAAAAACAATGCAGACAGAATTGTGCTAATTTTGTAATCTGTGGAGGTCTGCTTCAACCGATTCCTCTCCCTCATACTGGTCATTATTTATGACCGAATCCGTCTTGTAATGAAGTTGTTGACAGTAGTACTTGTTATTGCACTGGTACTTGTTCTGTTCCACAGCAGAAGGAGTACAGTCTCCTGCCGCACTCTAAGAAGGTGCCTTTGGAGTACATCAACCCTGGGGAACAAAGATCCTCTCTGGAGAAGCAGCTGAATGCCATAACAACGAAAACATGAGACAACAGTAAGGCTGTAGATAGTTAACAGTAACAAAACCATCAATCATTTTAGCTTCTTCTTTTAACGTCACATTTCACTTTTAAACTAGATTTGATATGACTTCGCGTTTTTAGTCTTCATCTTTATTAATTCTTATAAATAACCTCATAAAGCATCTGATAATGAGGACAAGACAACAATTTCTTGTCAGAGAAGCCCGTCTCCTGTACACTGAAAGACCCTTTTGTCATGTCGGAGTCCCTCATTTGTCCAGGAAGTCTATGTATGCTGGGCACAAAGCCTTTCTAAAACAAACCATTCCACCCAGAGCCACTTAAGAGAATAATACATTCAATGGCGTACTACTTCCGTGGCTGGCATAGTCATGGGGGCAACAAAAGGCCCAGGGGCTGATTTAGTAGGAATCTGGTCCTGGAGCACATGGCCTCAGTCAATCACACACCAGGCCAGCGGGAAGACATGAAGATGTTTGTAGGATAGTGTGGGCTGAGGCTGTGACAGCCACTCTAGCTGCCAGGATCAGTGAGTTTGTCAGTTTGCAATGAACGAGGGAGGGGTCACAGCTTGTATCAATAACATCTATGAGCAGATTTCTGCACTGGATTAGGGATACTTACTAGCTTCAACAAATTTTAAAAGGACCAAAACTTTAAAAGTAAAAATACATACAGAAAAAAAAAAAAGTGTTAAAGCTGCTATCTAACACCTGCACACACACAAGCATCTACAAAACAAATAAAAATAAAAGCAGCTTTATGCGTCTTTTATTTTTAGTAGTGTGAATTAAAATCAGGGCTTAACACGTGTAATGCACAAAATTC